CACTATCTGACAGACACCTCCTTCAGGTCACTATCTGGGAGATGAAAAGCAGAGTCTGTGAGACATGGTCTCAACGCTGCACAAAGCCACAAGGCATGCCCACGTTACACAGTGGGTTCTCGACTATGCCCTCACATAAACTACCTCATTTAATCGTCTCAGCAGCTTCAGGGAAATGGGGAAGATTTATCCTCACTCTATTCAACTGCATAAATCCAAGGTGAGCCAAGTAAGCAACTTTGCCTTAGATCACGAAGTGAGCAAAAGCCAAAGCTATGCGCTTTAAGTATATGTTTCAACTGCATTTTGCTTGGCCTCTGGCTGAGTACCTAGTTACAAAAAACATTTTTCAGATAATTCAGGCTGAGTGTTAAGGACATTAGGGAATTATTTCTTAATTTTGTAAAGTGCAATAATGGTACTGTGGTTTCATAGAAAAGCATTCTTTTGAAAAGTAAGCTTAACTATTCAGGTATAAGAATCTTGATGCTTGTAATGTCTTTGAAATAGTTCAGCAAAAATATTTAAGCCTTTTTATATAAAGGGAGAACTTTTTTTGTGGGGGGGTACCAGGGATCAAACGCGGGTCCTTGAGCTTGCAAGGCAGGTGGTGGAAACACTGAGCTAAATCCCCAGCCCCAAAATGGAGAACTTTTGAGCAAAAGAAAAAATGTGACTGAAGGCGAAGGTGCAAATCCATTCTTGGCAAGAAGCAGGTTACAGAGAGGAGTTCATGAGAACAAAAGAGAAAGCTGAAGACAGCATGGTGGCCTGCCTATAATCCCAACACTCTGGGAGGCCCAGGTAGCAGGATTCTAAATCCAAGCTCAGCATGGCCAATTTAAGTGAGACCCTGTCTCAAAACTTAAAAAAAGAAAATAACTTTTTAAAAGGGAGGTAGGAATGTAGTTCATTGCAAAGGTCTTGGGTTCAACTAACTACTAGTGCAAATAAAGAAAGAAGAACAGCAGCCCCATATTTCCAAAGCATTTGTAGCCAAGATCAAATGTTATAGAGATACATAAAATTCTAAGGTCAGCCAGGTGTAGTAATCCCAGCACTCAAGAGGCTGAGGCAGGAGGATCGCTGTGAGTTCGAGACCAACCAGGGCTATATAGTGAGTTCCAGGTCAGTGAGACCCTGTCTCAAAATAACCCCCCTCCAAAAAAAATTCTAAGGTCAAAAAATTTTTCCCACCAGGTATGTAGCTAGCTCAGTGGCTTGGCAGGCACAAGGTTCTAAATTTGATTCCCACATGCACACACTGAAAACATTAAAAAAAAATTTCCCTTTCCTATGTAAGAAAGACTACTTACAAGATGAGCGTGGTGGTGCATGTTTATAATCCCAGCACACAGGAAGATCATTGCAAGTTTGACACCAGCCTGGGCTTCACTGTGAATTCAAGGCCAGTCTGAACTACAAAAAACGAGACCTTGTCTCAACGAACAAACAAAAAAACCTACTTAAGAGTTTGCTGATACATTTTACAAGGGTGTGTATGAGGTACAGGGGATGAAACCCAGGCTAGGCACATGCTACATAAGCATTCTACTACAGCCACAACTTTTTAAATTATAAAAGGAAAAATACATGTAGCAATGTAGATCCTAAGATGCGTTTCTCTTCTCTTTGTTTGTTTTTTGAGATAACAGTCTCAGCTATGTAGTTCAGGCTGAACTGGAACTCAAGTTCCAGTTAATTTAGAACTTGAAGGGAGCTTCCTGCCTCAGCATCCGGAGTGCTGGGGATTACAGGTGTGCACCATCACACTAACAGGATGCTTTTCTTTCTGGAGTGAGATCAAAGAAGAATAGTCAGTGTATGACTTTTCTGGATGGAAATTATTTCTGGGACCATCAACCAAACCAGACAAGATTTCCTGTATTAGCACATATATAGTTCTGAATTGAAATGAAAAAGAACAGTAGGATATAAATATTATTTTCTGGAATTAAGCACAGTTGACCAGTCGCAAAATCTTGATTTACTGTATTGATGCTAAATAGCAGGTAATTAAATAGCTGAACCATTAATAAAAACACTGACTATATTGTAGAATATCAATAAAATCTGTTTAGGAGCTGGGTAACCTATGGTAGAGTGCTTCCCCTGCTCATGAGGCCCTGGATTTGATTCCTAACATGAGCAACACCCCCACACCTGCCACCCCTAAAAAATCTATTAGGGAAGAGGATGTAGCTCAGTGGCTCAGAGCCTGCCTTATAAGCACAAGGTCTTGAATTTGATCCCCGGAAGGGGGGGTGGTAGAGGGGAGGAATGGGATACAATAAAATTTATTAAACTAAAAAGAAATCTTAGCTAAGGTACAAATACATACACCTAAGTCTCCAGATTGCTGTGTGCTGATACCAATTCTCTTTATAAGTAACACACCCTACCTACTTTCAAAAAGTACACGAGGGGGCTGGGGATTTAGCTCAGTGGTGCTGCCGCCTGCCTTGCAAGCGCAAGGACCCGAGTTTGATCCTCGGTATCAAAAAAAAAAAGTACACGAGGGACCTCAAATATAAAACCATTAAAAGAGAAAATAGAAGATCAAAATTCATACAGTGGAAGGGTAAGTAAATCTAGTAAAACCCTAGCTAAGAGATGGATACCATTATCAAGTAATAACGCTACAGTACTTTGCATTGCTAGTGTGCACTACCCCCAGCAACAACAAAAGAGCAAACATGGCAAGCTCTGTAACTCAAAGAGAATCCTTCCTGCTACTAACATTTAAAAGGAAATTTTCAGATGGGTCATTACGTAACAATGAACAACATAAGGGACAATGACTGTGATGGGTGGACATTTACTGCCCATATCGCTGCTTTCTCCCCAGGCATTTGATTATCGATGCCAAGGTCGGTCACACTCAAAGAACTCACAGAAGGCCACTTCCGCAGTGGCCAAGGCCCCCACAGGCTTTCTGTTTCTCTCACTGAAACCAGAACCTGTCTTCACATCGTCTGGTCTCAACCAGGTGGTTTAAGCAGAGTGGCTGATGTTTAACTTACTCATAAAGCCTGGAATGGAGATACATTTTTTGCTGGTGATCCACCTGAAATCCTTTTGCTCGGGACAGCAGGCCGGGCAGGATGCAAAGATGACATGCTGCTGAGAAAAAGGGCAGGCCAGACTTGCACTCTCCAGGGATGGAGCCAAGGAACCCAACCAAGAGTGGCCAAACCTTCAAAAGCCCGAGCTCCAAGGCCAGAACACACCTCGGTCGGCTCACTACGCCTCCAGGTCATGCGTGCAGGTAGAAACAGGACCCAGAAAAATGCCCGTTTATCCACCACATTCAAAAGGGCCAAGACCTAGCAGAATATTCCTTCTCCTTTGTATTTCAGCACTAAAGGCACAACTTTTTTCATTTTACCATTTCAAGATGGGTATATGAAAGCAAAGCCAAATGTCTAAGTGTATCACCCACCTTGCACACCAGCAGCACTGGCAGATCAGGGTTATGATAGTCAAAGCTCACCGGGGACCCACAGGAAGGAAATTCCCCTTCCCAAATATCAGGCCCCCAAACCCCGCCAGGCAACAGACGGCAAAGGATAAAAGGGCATCTTAAAAAGAAGTCAGCTTGCTTAGAAGACAGCACTGCATTCTATCACCTGCTGCAAAAGAAGACCTTCAAGCCTCCCCGTCGCCCAGCCCTGAGTCACTTCCCCTCACTGCACTACTGAGTCTCAATGTTCGCGGAGGTGGGGGGCGTGAGAGGGAAAAATCCACAGGGAGCCCGGAGCTGGTAACCCTCAGCCCCTACTCTCCACTCCGACCCTCGGAGGGG